CGGCTTAAATGGGTAATGAAGAAAAACTTTAATATAAGTTTTTCTTCATTCCCCATTTAAAGCCGTCTCCAGCCATTATAAGTTACTGACTGTTAATTACAACTTTCTTTCACTTATAAAATCTAGTCATCATGCGGGTGAGGGGCTGGTTAGCTTTTGATTCATGTATTTTATACATTGTTTACTTCATGTAGAAAAACTAAGGTTTGTATTATTAAATCCAGCTTTTCAAGTTCCCTTGTAATAATCGGGTAAAACTTGTAATGCTTGTTTACTGTCATTTAACAAAGCAGGTTAAGTACCTTTCTTGCTTTTTATAGATAGGTGAGCGATACGTGATCGATCAAAGACATCATGCATTCCCTACCAAAAAACAAAATTTTTTATGTAGTTGATTAAATGATCGAGGTTAAACACAATTGTGAGCAGCACGTGCTACACGAATAATTCAGAGTGATATGGAAAAAAAAGTTGAAATGGAATTAAAGTCATTTTTAAAATACCAGTTACTTTATTCGTGGCTTGAGGCCAAATATTGTTCATCTCATACTGACGATAGGCAAAAGTGTTTTTAAATCAGTCTTCCACGTTTAATTTCTTTTCATCTACAATTAAACCTACGCTATGGCCCTTAAACGACACAATACTGACGACCAGCGTCTTAATTTCGATAGACAAATATAGGCTGTTAAATTGAACACAGAGAAAACGAAATTCAGTGTCTAATTCTTTTTTTTTTTTTTTTGGTTACTCTGAGAGATTTGATCAATATAAACTCACATAACATGTATAGTATAAATGTATAGTATAATCGTCGACATAAACAGCTGGTGATGCTGCACTACCGAAAATAACTAAGTTTAAAAGTAAAAAACAGAATATTAAACTCGATCGAAAACAAGATGGAAAGCCATTTTGTTAATGCTTATGGTCAGAGAGAAGTTTCGATCGCGTTGTAAAACCATTGCAAGATACATTAGATACTGTTGAAAAAAACGTTGAATTGCGTCATGCTACCAACTATTAAAATGGACTGTGTGTCTGTGATCAACGTCTTGTTTGTTTTTTTAATTTTCGCGCAAAGCTACACGAGGGCTATCTGCGCTAGCCGTCCCTAATTTAGCAGTGTAAGACTAGAGGGAAGGCAGCTAATCATCACCACCCACCGCCAACTCTTGGGCTACTATTTTACCAACGAATAGTGGGATTGACCATCACTTTATAACGCCCCCACGGCTGAAAGGGCGAGCATGTTTAGTGTGACGGGGATTCGAAGCCGAGACCCGCAGATTGCGAGTCGACCGCCCTAACCACCTGGCCATGCCGGGCCGGATCCTCGTCTTATAATATTAATAGCCATTTCATTGAATTTGGAAGTACAATATGTGTTTTCATATATGCCAACCTGTTTTAAGAAAGAAAAGTAGAAAAATGTGTGCTACACACAGCTTAGTTATTCTACTTAAGATTGATTATTTTTAAAACAAAGAATATAATTGAGTTAAATCAAACATTTTACCTATAAATGCTTCAGAAGTAAGTTAAAATTTACCTTTTTCAATCCACGAGAGCGATGATTTCACTAGTGTCTGGGTCTTCTAAGAACACGAGCGTGCTGAAACAGTGCTCTCTCACAGATACCACCTTCATTGCGACACCTGTCGGAAATTTCTTTAACGCGTCTCTGTAACTGCTCTAACTGCTTCCAGCTCATCCTTGGTGTAAGTAATTTATTTGATTTTGTTTTTTCAAACAAGTTTTTTTTATTTACTTCCTATAAATGTCCTTGTATGTTAATATCTCGGATTGACGGACAATAAGGAAACTTTTAATGAAGAAAGGAAAATATTACTTACGAGTTGTGAATATGGTAAATATTCAGAAACCGAGACGTTGACAAACAAATGCATAAACTGTAAATACATAATTTTGTAATCTAAGACTATTTTAAAATGTCTTATTACTTAAGTTTGATGTCACAAAGATTATGTTGACAAAATTAATATTCTTATAATGAAACTCTGAAATATTTAATGCTACATTTTGCGTGGTGTTTTTATAATCAGATAATATATATATATATAATTTGTTTGATAAACCTTGTAATTATTATGTTATAAATTTAGGTTAAAGAAGCTATGTTATTTTCTCAACGTTTACCGTGAGTTATAATTGTGTTGTAGGTTAATTTAAAGTGGATCACTTGTTATCAACGCAAACTAGATTAATTTTGGATCAATATGTGTTCCTTACATCTTAAAAGTAATATTAGAAGATTGAAATATTGGGCGTCAAATAACGATTCCAAATACTGCTACTTGAAGATACATTTCAGAATCTTTATACGTTTTATGTAGTAAAGAAGTATAGAGGCGTGGGTGTCTTCTATGTAGTATATTTTTCTCGTCGCATGGCAACAGAAACTTCGTCTTAGAACCAGTGACTTTCCTTCATAAAAGCAAAAAATATCCTCTTATCAGAAAATTCTATTATTAAACAATAAGCTCATTTTCCTCATTTTGTAGACCATTCAAACATTGCAGCAAATATATACATCTACTGGCTACTTTATCTGAATCCTCACCTAATATCATGATGGACCATATTTCGCCGCCGTTAGAGCTTGAGCTTTAGTCTGACATAGACTTCACAAGTTGCCAGAAGGTGTCTTGTTCGATTATAATACATGGTGCATGACTGATTCGCATGTATTGGTAGAAGATTAATGTGACAAATGCGTCGTTCATCTCAAAGCTTCGGTAATTGTGCTAGCCAAGAAAGATGGCTGATATAGCTGACGTGCTTTTCCAACTAATTAATTGGCAATACAAACAAAATGGATTATTTTATTATCGTCCTGGAAATATCGTGTTGAAATGCACCATTGTGAAGTGCACGTGATTAGCTATAACATTTAAGATCACTATGGGTGTCTTTGGCCCATTTCAAAGGCGAAAAAGATCAACTTTCTGCCATAAGAATGCTCCTGGCACCATTATATTGTTAGAACAATACAACCGTGATCAACCTTGCCATTCTCTTTTTGTTCAGGTCTTTTCCTCTACCTTCAGTACAAAAGGTGGTAAAATGAAACTCATCTGACGAAATTACACGTTTCCAGTCATTCGTTATCTGCAGTTTACACTCTAAACACTAAAACTATGCTTTTCTCTCTGCATCTGAGATATACTGTTTTCATACTAGTCATTTTCTGTTAATATCAAAATATTTATAACGGACTTCGTTTTTACAGCTGAAAATATTCGAATTTTGTCCATAGTTGAAAGATTCGAACAATTAGGACGTCTGACGGAACTTAAAAAAAATATCCAATGTTTTTATTTTCTTGTTCAAATGCCAGATTTTAGTAGTAGCAATCTTATTTCCTTTCGACTGCTATTGCTAATAAATTCTGTTGATAAATATCTTTGAATAGCCTGTCAAGGAAATGGTCTTTAATAACTACACTACCGCTATACCAGAAACAGCTGTCGAGTCCCATTGATAATCGAAGAGATTTCCCATTTTCTTGCATGCCACCAAGATATGTTTTTGTTTTTTTACATTTATTGTTTTGAAGCAATAATCTTATACACCCATAATCAGTCAATTCAGCATATAAATAAAATGCTCCAAAATATGTGTGTGTGGAAAGTCCTAAAAACTGAACGTTCAGTATACAATAAATACCATTTTGAAGGCAACTCTCGTTTCTAGGAATAATTCCTAGAATGTGATATTGTAATAAATATTCCTGTCATCATGTGTCCGAAATTAAAATTATTTACCTGAAAATGTATTTTTATATATTTTCTATGCACAAAACACGACACGTGTACACAAAGAGAAACACGTCACTGTGTGTATCATCAACATTCCTACTATAAAGAAAAACTGGAGGAAAATTTCCTTCATACAATCCGTATTCGTTCATTGGATTCGTCAACTAAAATTTTAGATAACGCACCCTAATTGGTATTTTATATTTTTGTTGCGTATGAATATCATTAAGCAAACAACATGAATAATGAATTCTAGCCGAAAAAGCAAAAAAAAATGTACAAGTTTGATTTTATAAGTTAAAAATAAATCTCAGATTTTGTTTTCCTGTCTTTGCTTCGATTGCAAGCTCGAATGCATAAAGTTGTTGTTTTTTTATTACAAAGCTACACGATGGGTTATCTGCACTCTGCCCACCTCGGGGAATCGAACCATGGAATTTAGCATTGTAAGTCAATAGATTTACCTCTGACTCACCAAGGAGACGAATGCATAAATGCATGGTATTTTGAAATTTGTAACTTACTACATATTTGAGAAACAAAAATGTTCATAGTTTAGCAGCTGCACAAACTACTGCGAAACTAACAGTTTAATACAGACTTTCTAAAGAACGATTTATATTTGTAATGTTTAAACTCCTTGTTTGGTACTTCTGTGATCAGAGTAGCAAAACGAACGTTGAATGATTCCGCATTTTGCAAAATCTTTGATGCTACATAAGAATAAAATTGTTATATGTAAATGACTATCTTTCTTTTTTTCCTTTCCAAGGGTTCATGGTTCGTGGCACTTTCCCAAAAGAATGTTCTCCTCCCTTTGGAGAAGTGTTGTGCACCATAAGAATGGGTGTTCAATGAAGCAATAGTATCTCAAGAATTGGTAGTAGATTATGTTGACTAGCTGTCTTCTCTCTAGTCTATCAATTCTATATTAGCCATCGTCTATCAATTCGATATTAGGGATGGCTATGTACAGATAACTGTGGTAAAATTCTGAAACAAACAAATCTTTTTTTATGTACTTAGGACTTGTATTTGTAAAAATCTGTCACCACATTAGTTTGTTTGTTTTTTGTATCTTTTCCTCAAGACATTATGATACAAATCTGTACTCAAGTTTCAAATCATTTTGTTCGTGTGTGAAACTCAGAACATTTTCGTTCTTTTACCAGTCTCAAACGTTCCTACTCTATCATGTGATGTTTTAAAACCCTTGTTCGCGTGTGGAACTCAGAAACTTTTCGTTCTTTTACCAGTCTCAAACGTTGCTACTCTATCATGTGATGTTTTAACACACTTCTGTGAAATTCAGAGCCTTTTCGTTCTTTTACCAGTCTCAAACGTTGCTACTTTATCATGTGATGTTTTAACACCCTTGTGTGAAATTCAAAACTTTTTCGTTCTTTTGCCAGTCTCAAACGTTGCTACTCTATCATGTAATGTTTTAACACCCTTGTTCGTGTGTGAAACTCAGAACCTTTTCGTTCTTTTACCAGTCTCAAATGTTGCTACTCTATTCAAATATGATTTTCCGCTTTGGAATAGGGTAATTTCTGCTGCCTTCTCGATATCGTCTAATGTATTCTCTCTTTCTTAACTTAGAAAGCTAAACTGTTTAGCTTACCCAAATTTTCCAGATATACGAACTTTTAGAGCACTTACAGGAAATCCTCCTTGAGCAGTATTGATCTTGGTCAAGGAGTTTGTCCTACTTAGGCATTATTAGATATTTATTATAAAAGGCATTAGTAGAGACTTATTTTTGGATCACTTATATCCTTTCTTTGGTAAAATTATCATGTTTAATGCCTGGAGGTGAAACTCTCTCTATTATCACTTGAGACCATTAATGACTAGGTTAGCGCCTGTGTTCCGAGTAGAATGTTGTTATTGTTTTTCTATATATAACGGCATACTCTGTCCGTCTAGTGTCTGAATCTACAGAGTACCTTCAGAATATCCTCCAGTGACACAGCGGTAAGTCTGCGGGCTTATAGTGCTAAAAACCGGTTCGATACCCGTGGTGGACATAGCACAGATAGGTAATTGTGTAACTTTGTGCACAAACAAACTCTTCAGAATAACACAACTAATTCAAACTTATTTCTGTCATACAGAAGCATCATCCAGTGCATTTGTTTGCTTTTAGATTGTTTTTGTAGAGATTGCATAATATTTTTCTTCTGCTTTGTCCACATTGCATCAAGTTTATTTTGGGCATCAAACTCAGTCGGAGCTACAGAAAATCGACATACTTATATATTACATTTTTTTACTTTCTTCATGCTATTATAGTTATTATCCTTATCTCTAAGGTTATCAATGCACCTCTGAATACCACAGAACAGAGTTTGTTATTTATTGTGTGTTTTAAGTGTGTTTGCAGACAATTTCCTTACCTTTTACATAAGTAGGAGGACGCATAACCAAGAGAAACCAAGGTTACATGGCTGTCTTAGAAGTAGTCAGTTCTTGAAGAAATTCTCTCCTGGATGTCAGATTTTTGCCGAAATTGTGAAATTCAAACGCTGCTGATTAAGTTCTAAGTCTGATGATTGATCTCAGTACACAGTAGGCAGGCAACTGTGTATCATCGTTGTAATTTGTGGTCTGGTGAATCTGGGAACAAATAAGCAAGTCTCTACAGGGCTCCTGGGCAGTTGCCTAGCTAGGATAGCATTACTCTGACTCCGGCTGATACCAACAAAGAAAAACCAAAATGGACTGGGAGTGCCACTAGCAGATAACGTCCAGCAAACCGAGCTGTTTGACAAGCACTTGAGACAGATGACACTGACTGGTAAATATGGTGTTCTATGG